CTGTCTGTCTGTCTGTCTGTCTGTCTGTCTGTCTGTCTGTCTGTCTGAGTCTGAGAGCGAAGCTGTTAGGAAAATATGGATCAGTAAGATCTGTATTGTAAGATGGAGCTAGGTTGTTGAGAGCTTTGTATGTTAGAAGTAAGATTTTGGTTCAGGTAACTTTTTTAATGTTGGGATTAAACGACACATCCGGATCAAAAATGGCACCAAAGTTTTTTACATTAGAACTGGAGGTCAAATTAATGCCATCCAGAGGAAGTGAAAGACTGCAAAGTTCAGGTCCAAAAACCAAAACCTCTGTCTGAGTGAGTTGCAGCTAAACCTGCCTGCAGACGTTATTTTATATGCTCTGAATCTAGATTCTCTTCTTCCAGGTGAGACAGATGGACTTCTTCCTGCAAATTCCTTCCAGAACTCAAAGTATGACTTTGGCAGCATCGGCCTGGCGCTCTACAGCGGTCTGTTTGCCTACGGAGGCTGGTGAGGCCAAACACCAATTCACCTGAGGCTAAATATAGATTAGTAATGTCAGATTGAATCCAAATAAGATTTTATAAAGTATCCACATGTAATCACAGTGTTCCTGCTTTAAAGTGACTATAACTGTATTATTTAGTTAGAAACTATTTGCACAGTTTGTGCGTTACACCCTGTAACCTCATCGTGTCTCATTGTTCTGCAGGAACTACTTGAACCTCGTCACAGAGGAGATGATTGAGCCGTACAAGTAGGCCGCATGCTCTTGTCCAAATTTAAAAGGCCACGTTTGGATCAGCGTGTCGGAGTCTGCAGGCGTAATGTGCGTTTGTTTGTTTTACCTCCTCAGAAACCTCCCGCGAGCCATCATCATCTCTCTGCCCATCGTGACGGCCGTTTACGTCCTCACCAACCTGGCGTATTTCACCACGCTCTCCCCCGAACAGATGCTGCACTCAGAGGCCGTAGCTGTGGTGAGTCTGCACGTCTGAAGGCTGCAGAGTGCAAAAATAACCCAAACTTTTTTTTTTTTTCATTTTGACCTGCCCTGCAGAGAAGGACAAAGACGCCTTTGATTTGTTGATGCATTCAGTAAAAACAGCCATTTTTAGATGATTTTTTTAGGGAATGGCGTGCTAAGACTTTTGGCAGCAGGAAGTTCAAGTCAATTTTATCGTCATTCTCATCACACGTGGTTCATGAGGTGGAACAAAATTATGTACACAGGGTCCCAGTTAAACCCAACAACAGCAAAAATATAACGTGTAAAAAGAAACAGTATACAAGGATCTAAGATATAAACTAAGATATACACTAAACACTAATACTGTACTTGCTGCCGTACACATCTCACCACCGTACAAGTCGCATCAGTCCGAATATGTCTAATAAAGTGGAATAAAACATAAAAAAGTCACTTCGCCGTATAAGTCGCATCTATTATGCATCATTATGCGTCGCGTTTGTTGCGCGTCGCCACTGACAACCTGGAACTGTGGGCCGGTGTTGTGCCAAAAATCCATTGGCTGCCAAATGGCGGCCACGGCAACATGCACTGGAAGACTTTAACAAGAATTTAACAAGATTAACACTTAAAACAATTATTTGTTTGCTCGAAATTATAGCAAAGGTATGTCTCAGTTTAACATTTCCTTAATAAATGCACTATATTAGTCAAATCAGCTGCATTTTCAAAAATCGATTCGCGGAAGCAGGAGCGCACAGAGGGAGGACTCGCTGTGCATTTTGTCGACATTTAACAAGAAAACCACCTAAAAACTATTATTTGTTTGCTCGACATTATAATAAAGGTGTGTCTCAGTTGAACTTTTCTTTAATAAATGCACTTTAATGGTCAAATCAGCTGCATTTCATCTGGGCAGCGCAGCTAAATGCAGCTGATTTGACATTAGACGAAGGTGGCTTATGTATGGCAAGCCAAGTGTCTCATTAATAGCCACTTTTACCTATTAATGAGACACTTGGCTTGCCGTATAGCCGAGGGCCCTCTAGTGGCTGAAAATTATAGTGTTCAATATTTTACAGGTCAGAATGAATGAAATCGTCAGATGTCAGTCAAAAATTGGGTTATAAATATGGAGAAAAAAACATTAAGTTGCTTGTATAAGTCACAGGCATGCTAATTTATGCAAAAAGGTGTAACTTATACAGTAAAAGTACAGTAATGTAAACAATATGATGTATTATACATCAGCCAAACATATGAGTCTGTGGCGAGTAGATGGGTATGAATGTATAGAGCAGCATGAGATCAGCAGCATGGATAATCAGCAGCACAGATAAGTCACATATCACCAATTAAAGTGGCATTACGGTGATTTTTTTTAAAGTTACATGAGGTAGACAGAATCAATTAAAAAAAAAACTATTAGAAAGAAAATACTGGAGATGAATGGGATTTTGGTGAAACACATAAGAAACAGCTTTCAAAGTTTAACCAGTCACAGAAAGTTGAACTTTACGAGACGCAAATTATATTTTTTAATACATTTTAAGTTATTGTTTGCATCAAACTATAAGGATTTTGTCCTCTTCTGTGTGTCTCACTGCTGTAGGACTGATGGTTTCCTCTCTAACTCCACCAAAATACAGAGAGCACACAACCAGGCGTCCACACACTTTGATTATATTTTACTTGTCAAAAACAGAGTGAAGTTTTTTTTTAACTCGTCGTATTTATAAAACACTGCAAACGTACAAATTCACGTGCGTGACCATCAGAGCCTTCCGCTTTGAAGATCCGACAGCTTTGTCACAGCGACGGTTTGATTGAGGCTTACTTTCTGTCTGCCTCTCAGTAACTCAGGGAGTGACAGACAGTGTGGTTGCCATGGTAACTACAGATATGATTATTCACGTTTTGTGCTGCAGCTGCGTTGGGCGCCGCCCTTCAACAATCCTGCAGAAAATTTCTAGTTTTTAATTTTATGCAACTTCTACTGCAACAAATTTTAGGAAAAAATCTTTATTAGTTTTATGTTAAACATCTTTATCTGTGAAATGATTCAAAAGGGATTATAAAACATTTTCTCTATATCCTGCTCGCAGGTGGATTGTTGGACCTCTTTATAAAAACATAAGCACTTTGTGATGGTATCAGGCAGCAAAAGTGATGTTAATTATTTTTGTTTTCAAATCAAAGCAGTTAAATCATGTGACGCAGTTTAACTTTTTGTTTTGAAATGATCAGGCTGTGGTATTTTGCTCGAGGTTTTTGTACCATCGGTCTCGTAGCGACCTGCTGCTAAACACAATTTGTAAAACCCACGTGTCCTGCAGGACTTTGGAAACGCCCACCTGGGCCCCATGTCCTGGATCATCACCGTGTTTGTGGGCCTGTCGTGCTTTGGCTCAGTTAACGGCTCTCTCTTCACGTCGTCCAGGTAACGGCCACAAACTACAACAAAAGAATTCAAAAAGCGTTCAATACAAAAACAACTGGACTTTATTTGTAACAGAAGACGTTTCGCTCCTCATCCGAGGAGCTTTCTCAATTCAAAGAGCAGAGAGTGAGAGATACAGGTTATAAGGCTGAGTGAGATAAGACACACACACACATAAGACACACATATAAGACACACACACACACATATATGTAGATTGGCAGTTCACACCTAAAAACCTAAACAGTAGGTCTTTGTTCCTCTAATTCAGTCGAGGCCCCTCTGTTCCCATCAGGTGTGAAAACCGGCTGGGGATCTGTTTTAAAGTTGCATTATATGTTTTTGAAAGTGGGAATCTGAGGCCTCCTCCTCTGTTAAGAGACGGCTTTTCTCTTTTTACATAAATTGCACAGATGGTTTGAGAGGGGGGTGAAGGAAGCAATTTATGTAAAAAGAGAAAAGATGAGGAGCGAAACGTCTTCTGTTACAAATAAAGTCCAGTTGTTTTTGTATTGAATGCTTTTTGAATTCATCATGTCCTGGATGACTGAGAATCTTCACCAGCAAACAAGTCGGATTGACGTTTCTCTAATGGAAAAAAGAACAGATCTTTGCTGAGTGGTACCAGTTTTGTCTCTTCTCCCGTCTCAGGTTATTCTTTGTGGGTTCCCGGGAGGGTCACCTGCCCAGCCTGCTGTCGATGATCCACCCCACCCTGCTGACCCCCCTCCCCTCACTCATATTCACAGTATGTATTTCATTATAAACCAAAGATCTTGTTCATTTCACCATTACTGTGACAGATCTCTGGGCTTCAGAGATGTCTCTTGTTGCTGAATCAGTTTGGGGGTTTGTTTTATTTGACCTATAACCTCTGACCTGCTCATCTGTCCAGTGTGTGATGACGCTGTTGTACGCCTTCTCCAACGACATCTACTCCATCATCAACTTCTTCAGCTTCTTTAACTGGCTCTGCATCGCCTTGGCCATCATCGGGATGATGTGGCTTCGTTACAAGAAGCCCGAGATGGAGCGGCCCATTAAAGTGAGTTCAGCGACCTGAACGTGCATGCAGGCATGTCTTAGTTGGCTCAGGATGATGTTTTATTTAATTTAATTTAATTTTGTTTTTAATGGTTGGGTCATGCATAGGTTTTGTGGAGATTTGCATTTCTTAGGGTTACCCCCCAGTCCCCGAGTTTCACAGTGAGCAGTTGTTCAAATATTCCACTGTTCAGATGTTCTCAAATGACAGTGAGGTTAAAACTAACGTCACTTTTATGTGTTTTCAGCTGCTGATTTTTTTAAAGATTTACCATGTGCTGCATGCACAAGCAGGTTTCATTCTGTATGACTGAATAAAGTATAAAAAACCTAAACATTTAAAGTAGAGCTTGTAACATGAACCAGTTAAGTTATATGTTTACAGACGTAATGTTCGGGTCTTTCCTCCAACATAATTTACACCGAAATAAAATACATTGGGATGGAAAACCACGGCGCAGTTTGTAATAAGAAGGTGAGATTTATTTATTTTTTGCCGCCATCTTGGTAGGTGCTACTTCTTAGTGCCAGCTTGGCAGTAGACCATGGACATCTGAAAAAACTCAACTCAACCAAGGAGCCATAGTTATTGCAACCTGAACTTCATAGAACGCAATGAATTTATGTTTTATTAGAAATACTCGTCTAGTACCCTGCATTATGAGACTGCAGCAGCTCGTGTTTGAACTTGCAACACAGCTGCAGTCCTGGCTCCTGTCAGTTTTTACCGTTTTGTTTCTGGTTTTTAAAGTTTTAAATGGTCTCACCGTCATATTGTTGCGAGCTCCTCAACATCTACACACCCGGAAGAGCTCGATGCTTACCCAACCAGTTTCTCTCAGATGTACCAAACTACAAAACGGATTCCAAAAAAGTTGGGACACTAAACAAATTGTGAATAAAAACTGAATGCAATGATGTGGAGATGGCAAATGTCAATATTTTATTCGTAATATAACATAGATGACAGATCAAAAGTTTAATCTGAGTAAATGTAACATTTTAATGGAAAAAATATGTTGATTCAAAATTTCACAGTGTCAACAAATCCCAAAAAAGTTGGGACAAGTAGCAATAAGTGGCTGGAAAAAGGAAATTGAGCATATAACGAACAGCTGGAAGACCAATTAACACTAATTAGGTCAATTGACAACATGATTGGGTATAAAAAGAGCTTCTCAGAGTGTCAGTGTCTCTCAGAAGCCAAGATGGTAAGAGGATCACCAATTCCACCATTGTTGCGCAGAAAGATAGTGCAGCAATACCAGAATGGTGTTACCCAGCGTAAATAGCAAAGACTTTTAAGTTATCATCATCAACCGTGCATAACATCATCAAAAGATTCAGAGAATCTGGAACAATCGCAGTGCGTAAGGGTCAAGGCCGTAAAACTCTACTGGATGCTCGTGATCTCCGGGCCCTTAAACGTCACTGCACCTCAAACAGGAATGCCACTGTCAAGGAAATAACAGAATGGGCTCAGGAACACTTCCAGAAAGCATTGTCAGTGAACACAATCCACCGTGCCATCTGTCGTTGCCAGCTGAAACTCTACAGTGCAAAGAGGAATCCATTTCTAAGCAAGCTCCACAAGCTCAGACGTTTGCACTGGGCCAGGGGTCATTTAAAATGGAGTGTGGCAAAATGGAAGACTGTTCTGTGGCCAGATGAGCCACGATTTGAAGTTCTTTATGGAACACTGGGACGCCATGTCATCCGGACCAGAGAGGACAAGGATAGCCCAAGTTGTTATCAACGCTCCGTTCAGAAGCCTGCATCACTGATGGTATGGGGTTGCATGAGCGCTTGTGGCATGGGCAGCTTGCATGTCTGGAAAGGCACCATTAATGCAGAGAACTATGTTCAGGTTCTAGAACAACATATGCTCCCATCTAGACGTCATCTCTTTCAGGGAAGACCCTGCATTTTTCAACACGATAATGCCAGACCACATTCTGCAGCAATCACAACATCGTGGCTACGTAGGAGAAGGATCCGGGTACTGAAATGGCCAGCCTGCAGTCCAGATCTTTCACCTATAGAGCACATTTGGCGCATCATAAAGAGGAAGGTGCGACAAAGAAGGCCCAAGACGATTGAACAGTTAGAGGCCTGTATTAGACATGAATGGGAGAGCATTCCTATTTCTAAACTTGAGAAACTGGTCTCCTCTGTCCCCAGACGTCTGTTGAGTGTTGTAAGAAGAAGGGGGGATGCCACACAGTGGTAAAAATGGACTTGTCCCAACTTTTTTGGGATTTGTTGACTCCGTGAAATTTGGAAACAACAGATTTTTCCCTTAAAATGATACACTCTCTCAGTTTAAACTTTTGATCTGTGATTTGTGTTCTATTCTGAATAAAATATTAGATGTTGGCACCTCCACATCATTGCATTCAGTTTTTATTTACAATTTGTTTAGTGTCCCAACTTTTTTGGAATCCGGTTTGTACATATATAAAAGTGATCAGGTTTTTGCAGTTGCAGTTTTGCTCCAAACCTGTGTAAGTTTACCTTTTTATATATTCCCTGCTGAGACTGTTTAAACCATTAAACCTCTGTTTTAGACTCATCCATTAGCTTTTGGTTAATGCCGGGTATGAGGTCCAATTTGTCCGTCATGTTTTTCTGCCTTTTCTTGTTTTTAACTTTTATTTGACTCCATTGTAAAGCACTTTAGTCAGATTCTGTTGTTTTATTGCTCAATATAAAATTTGACATTTATTATATTAGTCTGCTAAAATTACTGTACAGTCACCAAATATTTGACATCAATTACATTATTGTCTTTACTAATTAGTCATTAGTCTACTAATTTGTTTTTATGGGTAAAATATGAGCTAAGTATTTGTATATTAGTGTCTAGTATAGGCTAAACAAAAGCTCAGTTATTCATGTCCTAAAAGTTTGTTTCCATAACTATGAAAAAAAGACTACTTTATATAATTTCAAAGTTATTAGTCTAAAGTAGGTGCATTTAACTCCAGACACTGTAAAGTACTTCATTACCCAAAGTGCAGTTCTGTTCTGGTCTGGTTATAATGATTACAGCTCCCAGTCATTTTATCACAGTAGTAGCTCATCTGTTCAGCGTTTGGCCCCTGATAACACTTGACTGGGTGTGTTTGGAGGCTCAGTACAGAACACATTGGTCTTCAGTGCTCACCTTATGCATATTTGTTTATTTGAGTAAAATGGGGCTATTTCTACATGTTTTTGGACTAACTGCACAGCATACAACATGTACAAGCCATTAATGGTGTGTTTTTGGCATGTTAACAGTAGAGGGTGATGTATGTAGCACCTAGAAAGATGGCAGCCATTCCAAAGTTGTTATTTTTTAATTTCTTTATCATACACCTTCTCGTTAGTGACACCTACTGTTTAGGAAGGTTCCCGCAGCGAGTACCTTAAACAGCAGCATTCACAGCAAAGGCCTTCTTATACTGCCCAAGACATAGGACTTCTTATCTCACTGATGTGGTTGTGAGATGATCTTTTATGCGTGCTCAAAGAGAAGCTGCAGGAGAGAAGTCCTGCTACGCTCACCCACTGCAGCACACCTCAGGTCAAACAGAAACGACACAGCGAGCGCACAGCTGGCAGAGTAGATCAGAATTAGCTTTACTGTCGTTGCACCGCAGCGCAGCGAAATCACATTTCAGTACAGCCCGTCTGAGAGAAACAAACAAACATGGGGAGACGTCGGTGACTGAGGCCTGAGGATATGTGAGATGTTTGTTTTCCAGCGTTTCCCCTTCCATTATCCAAGGAGGGTGCCCCGCCCTGTCAACAGAAGTGAGTGCCCCGCCTACCAAACTGTCCCCGCCCCCGTTTGATAACTGACGTCACTGTCGTAGCACTAAGCTAGTGGCGCGCAATACAGACGCGATAGCTAAAAAGCTACAGAAGTAGCGCTCCGTTTCCCTCACACTTAGGGGAACCACTGTTTTCAGTTAATCAAGAACTTGAAGGAGGAAGATCTGGTGTTTCTGTTGCTAGCTGAGGAGAAGAGCTATTTTGTAAATTTTTCACGAAGAGACCTGACGGATGTGCTAGAACATGTCCTTGCTCAGCCACGGAGAGCCGCTCGTGTCTCCTTCCACGACCTCTTTATCGTTTTTGTAAACATGGCTGTATTTTCTAACAGCCTCAGCCAGCTGCTCCTCAGCGGAGCAGAACTGAGATCAGTGTAGTTCAGCCACTTTTCCGCACAAATACGTCCACTTAGTTCTGACCGACCACCCAATAGCTCTCACCCAGTAGCTCTGACAGGAGGCTATGCACAGACTGAGGTCTCAGGAGAGGTGCAGCTGGTGCTGAGTAGCCGATAAGTTCTGTTTTTTGTTGTTAGGACAGACGTTGTTAATTCACACTGAAGGAATTTGCTTCACTTTAAGGTCAAAGAGTTGTTTTCTTTTTAGATTTGAGTCTTAGGGTTTGAGTTCTCTTAAAATAAAAGAGTCACAAATTGTTCCTCGAAGGGTTAAAAGTTGGGGTTCTTGTGAATGCACGTCGCCCCTGCATGCGTTAGCCTCGTTAGCCGCTCTGACTCCACCATTAGCCGACGGATGAGCTGAGTGGGTCCTCTCGCTCTGTTTCTGTCACATTCCTGCTGCTCAGCAGATTCACTGTTCAGCTGATTCAGCACAACTGCCCGAGATATAGCCTAACTGTGGCGGCCATGTTGAATTGAGCTGACGTCAAACGTTTAACGAGTTACAGATAAACACCCGATGGTTCCTCTGAATGTTTCATCAAAGTCTGTCTTTGCTTCTCAATTTTGAGCAATAAAAATGAGTTTTGTGTGTTGATTCTTTGCCTGCAGGTGAACATCCTGCTGCCTGTGAGTTTTGTGCTCGCCTGCCTCTTCCTCATCATCGTATCGTTCTGGAAAACGCCGATAGAATGCGCCATCGGCTTCGGCGTCATCGGCACCGGCCTGCCCGTCTACCTGATCGGCGTTTGGTGGCAGAACAAACCGAAGTGGCTGATGAGAGGAATCTGTGAGTGCACGTCTCTGTTTATGGATAAAAACATTTATTTCTTTTAACTAGCACAAACTTATACAGTGTGTGTGTAAGTATGTATGTATGTGTATGTATATATTTATATATACATACATATATATACATACATACATTTTAGTCCATGTTTTATTCTCTCTAGATATTTTATATTGTAGCACTTTGAGATTGTAAAATGTAAAGTGCAGTACAAATTGAATAAATTATTATTATTATATAGTAAATGGACTGCACTTATATAGTGACTTTCTATCTTATCAAGATACTCAAAGTGCTTTACACTACAATCTGTGTCCTCATTTACCCATTCATACAACACTTTACTAGATCTGTACAAAGATAAATCAGTGCTTTATCACATTCATACACTGATGAGACACATCGGAGGCAATGAGGGGTTCAGTGTCTTGCCCAGGAACACTTGGGCATGTGACTGCTGGTGAAATCGAACTCCCAACTCTTGCATTGAAATACGACTGCTCTAATCACTTAGCCACATCCGCCCTGTGTGTGTGTGTATGTACTTTGTATATATATATATATATATATATATATATATATATAGCCTTGCGAAAGTATTCGGCCCCCTTGAACTTTTCAACCTTTTGCCACATTTCAGGCTAACAAGTGGGACACAATCGTGAAGTGGAATGAAATTTATTTATGAAATTTATTGGATGTGTCAAACTTTTTTAACAAATAAAAAACTGAAAAGTGGGGCGTGCAATATTATTCAACCCCCTTGCGTTAATACTTTGTAGCGCCGCCTTTTGCTGCAGTTCCAGCTGCAAGTCTCTTGGGGTTTGTCTCTATCAGTGTTGAACATGGAGACACTGAAATTCTGCCCATTCTTCCTGCAAAACAGCTCGAGCTCAGTGAGGTTGGATGGAGAGCGTTTGTGAACAGCAGTCTTCAGCTCTTTCCACAGATTCTCGATTGGATTCAGGTCTGGACTTTGACTTGGCCATTCCAACACCTGGATACGTTTATTTGTGAACCATTCCATTGTAGATTTGGCTTTATGTTTTGGATCATTGTCTTGTTGGAAGATAAATCTCCGTCCCAGTCTCAGGTCTCTTGCAGACTCAAACAGGTCTTCTTCCAGAATGGTCCTGTATTTGGCCCCATCCATCTTCTCATCAATTCTGACCATCTTCCCTGTCCCTGCTGATGAAAAGCAGGCCCAAACCATGATACTGCCACCACCATGTTTGACAGTGGGGATGGTGTGTTCAGGGTGATGAGCTGTGTTGCTTTTACACCAAACATATTGTTTTGCATTGTGGCCAAACAGTTCGATTTTGGTTTCATGTGACCAGAGCACCTTCTTCCACATGTTTGGTGTCTCCCAGGTGACAAACTTTAAACAACACTTTTTATGGATATCTTTGAGAAATGTCTTTCTTCTTGCCACTCTTCCATAAAGGCCAGATTTGTGCAGTGTACAACTGATTGTTGTCCTATGGACAGACTCTCCCACCTCAGCTGTAGATCTCTGCAGTTCATCCAGAGTGATCATGGGCCTCTTGGCTGCATCTCTGATCAGTCTTCTCCTTGTTCCAGATGAAAGTTTAGAGGGACGGCCGGGTCTTGGTAGATTTGCAGTGGTCTGATACTCCTTCCATTTCAATATGATTGCTTCCACAGTGCTCCTTGGGATGTTTAAAGTTTGGGAAATCTTTTTGTATCCAAATCCAGCTTTAAACTTCTCCACAACAATATCTCGGACCTGCCTGGTGTGTTCCTTGGTCTTCATGATGCTCTCTGCACTTTGAACAGAACCCTGAGACTATCACAGAGCAGGTGCATTTATACGGAGACTTGATTACACTCAGGTGGATTCTATTTATCATCATCAGTCATTTGGGACAACATTGGATCATTCATAGATCCTCACTGAACTTCTGGAGTGAGTTTGCTGCACTGAAAGTAAAGAGGCCGAATAATATTGCACGCCCCACTTTTCAGTTTTGTATTTGTTAAAAAATTTTGACACATCCAATAAATTTCATAAATAAATTTCATTCCACTTCACGATTGTGTCCCACTTGTTGTTCTTGGCCACGCCCACTTCTCCGCTGTGAACAGCTAAAGTGCAGCAGGAAGTTTATCCTGCAGTACAGGTTGCACAAAGGTGTAGGAGGAAGCTTCTGCAGCTCTGGGCTGCACAAATGTGCATCAGGTGCTAAATAATTTAAAATAATTTATTTTAAATAAACAATCCATGCCGATCGTGTGGCTTATCCATCAATCAGCCAATTGTGTGTCATGTCCAATCTTCTTTTGAAAAACCGCGATAGAGCGAGTATAAAATAAACAAACCGCGAAGTAGCGAGGGACTACTGTAAATACTGTATATACAGTGTGTGTGTGTGTGTGTGTAATATTCTCACTTTTAGGTCTACCTCAACTAATTTGTCTTGTTTTTTTGCAGTGGTTCAGTCAGTCTGTAAATGCAATAACATATTTTAAAGTATAAAATATAATTTTTCACAAGTCTTCTGTATTCATTTTAAGGGATCTTGAACATAAACATGGCTCTACAAAAAATAACAAATAACAAACAAATACAAATTGTCTTTCGTTTCACTTTATTTACCTAAATTATTTATTTTAGAGTTATCAACTTATTTGTTTGTCCATTATTAAGTATTTTGTTTAATGAATGTAAATTATTTTTATAATGATTCTGGCCGTGACAGTGATGTTTGAGTATTATTTATAGTTTTTAGATAGTTTGATTTAAATCACGTTTGGATTATTATACTGGCTGTTTGTGTGTTTTTCAGTCTCGACCACGGTCTTGTGTCAGAAGGTGATGGAAGTCGTGCCTCAGGAGTCCTAAAGTCCTCATGACCTTTGACCTTCAGCCAGTGGCCAATCAGAATGCAGCCACAGTGACCTCTGACGTCTCTTACTCCACTTTGTCTCACACACACTGTGAAGCAGGTTTTTTTTTTCCTTTTGATCACTGACGTTTTTTATTTGGTCGTAGTCGCTGCTGTTTGTAGGTCGGACCATGTCGATGTTTTACACTTTATTTATGTCTCCGTTTGTTTTGTTTCTTTTATTCAACCAGATTTTTGCTCATAAGAAGCCGAAGCGAAGCAGGACTCATTTGCCAGGCTTTTATCCTTTCAGATGTTTTACACTTTTATTCTCAGCCTTGTTGTGTTCCTCGTTGGTCACTATGATGCTCTGAACTCTCTGTGAGCCTTTAGCCTTTTTAGGTGTTCGGTTTGAATCGGCCATTTTATTAGCTCCACTGTAATATTTTGGGGTCGGACCCCCGTTTGCCTTCAGAACTGCCTTAATTCTTCGTGGGGACAAAAATTCAACAATGTGATGAAAATATTCCTCAATGATTTTGGTCCATATTCACTGCTCCATCAGATTTGTCCACTGCACGTCCGTGATGAGAATCTCCTGTTGGAACGCATCCTAAAGACGCTCGATTGGATGTTTTAGTCGAACTTTTTAACTTCTTTAATTTTTCATCAGTTCTTCTTCGAGCTGTTTGGTCCTTTCCTCGTGCGTGATTATTATCAGAGCTAAAGAAGAGTCTAAACAAACTGATTAAAAGCAGAGAAATCATCTTAACGAGCCGCCGCTTCATCACTTCGGACTGTTTCGTGTTTCTGCTGAAAAATGGCCGCCGCCACGCTTTACTCGCCTCACGTCCTGCAGCTGAAAACCCTCAGCTGAAACAGATTTGTCCTGTTGTCACTGATCTGATGGATCAACAGGTTGATCTGTAGCTGAGCTCACCCGTGACCGTAGTTTCCACTTTACAGTCCTTTCAATATAAAATAGGTTGATGGCGCTCCTTTTCTTTTTCGTTTTTCATGGAAACCGGTTTTACGTCAAAAACGGGACGTTTGTGTAAACGAGCACTTGAACAGGTGGACGTGATGAAGTGGTCGGCGTTTAATGCGCTGCACGTGAGCTTGCAGCTGTTTTACTTTTATGCAGGTCAGGAAAATAAGCCAGTTTAAAATTTTTTTTTTATGAATCTATATTTGGCTTTTTTACCTGAGTGTCTGAAAAGTTTTCCGTTCAAAAAGCTCCAGTTTCTCTGAACATCGCGGCGCAGAAATCTGAAGTCCTTTCAGATCAGGAGGGAACGTGTTCCTCTGACTGCAGGAGACGAAGGGTCCACTGATCCTTCCTGAGCCCAGAGAGGTTCAGGCGTCTGGTTCTGTTCATGTGTACCGGCATCAGAACCAGAGGCAGATCTGATCCTCCTCCACGTGTTTGTAGGAGACAAACTGAGGACATGGTTTTGTTTTTTACACTGGAATCGATCACATCTTCCACATTTTACTGTGCAGGAGGGCCTTTGCACACCAGACCTGTGATTTCTGTCCGTTTTATTGCACATTTTTTTAAATTTACACGAGCAAAAGTCACCTTATATTACTTCAAACGAAACCAAACTCTTGCGCTTTTCAAGTGATCGTGTCGTTATTTGGACTTTAGCTGCTGCTATTTACATTCATTTGGACCCTTTAAACCTTATTTTTTTGTAAAATACTTTGCTTGTTAATTGATAATCATAATACGCTGCGTGTTTTCCAACACGTAGCTGGACCGAGGGTTAAAACGAAATCTTTGGACCTGATCAGAGGAACGACTTCAACTTGACTGTGAGTCGTTCAGGCAGGAAACAGGATCCGCACCGACACGGTGCTTTAGAAGCTGACGGCTTGTTGTGCAGCGGATCCTTAAACAAACTGAAACTGGAAACGTTCAGAAAGAAAGAAGCAATTCAGATATTTTTCATCGACGGGAGATAACTGAAGCGTTTTTTAAGAAACGAGGAAAAATCTGCAGCTAAAGGTTTATTTTCTTGTTGTTTCCAACATCCAGACGCACGGACAATCAGGAGCCGATGTTTGAGCTGGTTCTGATTCTTTCTCAATTAATTATTAAATTAAAACATGGTTAACATAATAAATATATTTGAAAAATCCAGCTTTCCTTAAAGGAGTGCATTTCAGCTGCTATCAAAGTTTTACTCTCCAAGTATGTGTTGGAGAGGACTCTCAGCTACTACCACACCAAACTTCAAGTGTCTGTTAAACTGACTGAGCTGATTGCCTCAGGATCATAAATATGGTATATAAATACTATTTTTTTAAATATAACAATATTAACAGGCTAATTATGATTCAATCTTTTAATGTTTTATTGTTTTCTAAATGAAAGGGAGCAGATTTAGCTGTTGACCTCTGAGTCACCTTGATGGAACTGAAATCTTATTTTCTGTCCGACTGTTTTGCTGTTTTTCCTGGAGTCGCCTCTAAAAATGGGAGCAGATTGCGTTTCAGTGACGAGCCGCTTTAAACAAACCTCAAATCTAAAATCGGATCTTCAGTTTCTTCTTCGAGCCTTTTCACGTGAGAGGTCAAACCGAAAGCAGCCAAAGTCCAAAATAAAAACGGACTGGTTTCAAAATCTCAAGAAAATCGGACTCCTTTAGGGGTTGCTCAAGACTTTTGCACAGCACCGTTTTGCACGCAGACCCCAAAGCTTCCGTTTTGTCCCTTTTTTTTATTAAACGTGTAACTTGCTGACGTTTCCCAGCACCGTGCACTTTATTAAACGTGACGAGTGAAGGACGGGCTGGAACCAGCTCGGTTTGAGCCCAGATTGTCATCTTGACTGAAAGAAATGTCCAAAACGGCTTCTTTTATTTTGAAATTCTTGCGGATTGATGGATGGAGCCCCCCAGGCTGAACCCCCCCAGCTGTTAAATGGGACAGGAAAGCAGGTAGAGACAGTCGGTGTGCAAAGGCCTTCAAGCTTCCTCAGCTTCTTTCATGTGATCGGGAACGGGACGTCAGGTTTCCTGAGACGAGGGCAGAGATTCAGACCAGTGAGCAGAGTTTTGTGGAGAAAAGTGGATTTTTATTTTTTTTATATTTTAGTCGTTTTGTAGAAGTTTGTTGAAGGAGTCGCGTTTTATGAATCGTTTTCTTTTATTCGTCATCTTTTCTTCCCTCTCAGTCACATTTACTCCAGAACAAACTGAAGTTTAGATCTGAATCATTAACGACGCGCTCCTTGGACACAAAGTGTTCTTGGGGGTGGGGGTGGGGGGGGGGTCTGTAGAGGTTGATCTTGTCTAACACTCCAGCCGTCGCCAGAGTCGACGGGAAACTAATCCGTTACATGTGTAGAAAGTGTATTTATTTATTTTTAGACAACTTTTATTGTTATTAGTCTCTTCCTTGTGTTTACAGGGCATTTGGATGGAAGTGCTTTACAATAAATGTCATTTTTTTTCAATATTTGCCTCATTTGTTTTTTTTATTCTTTTAGTTTACTCTCCCCCATCAGTAAACTTTCTCTTGTCCCGCCCACAACTTCTGATCCGCTCAGGATAGTTTCATGAAAACTCTAACGCATCACTAGACGGAAAGTCTCGTATTATGTTCATCACCCCAGCTCCAAGGTCACAAGTCAAGGTCAAAGGTTATTCAGAATCTTTGCTATAGATTGGAGTATAATAAGGTGTCCAATGGGCCATGTGGTACCCTTGTTATTTCTTGGTAGCTTAACATTACGGTTCAGTAAGCACATAAATAGATGAACTAGAGAAATTCCATTTCCTGTGAACTTGCTGAAAAACAGATGAATTTTGCTTAAAAAAATAAATAACATGCTGAAATGGAAGAACAAGCCTAAATTAGCAGAAGAAAGCATTTTTTTTAATTGTATGTAAATTAACAGAAATGAGCACAATAATTAGGAAAATAGCTAAATTTAAAAAAAAAATAAACGAAATAAGCAAAAAAATAAAATAGCTGAAAAGACAGACAGAAGCTTAAACTACCATAAGGAAGCAGAAAGGTCTGAAATGTGCTAAAATAAAATGTGGAATTAGCTGATAAAGCTAAAATTAGCATAAAAACACCTGAAATAGAAAAAGCTGAAGCTAGCAAAAAAATTCTGATAGGAGCGTAACAAGCTGAAATTAGTGTAAACAAGTTAATTAGGCTGAAAGTAACAGAAATTACAATGGAAACTTGAATTTATCTGAAAACAGCTCAAATTAGCTAATAAGGTAGCTGAAAAGGTGGAAAAGCTTAAATTAGCTGAAGGAAGCAGAAAGAGCACGTTTGCTGATTGAGCTGAAAGAAGCAAAAATGAACAAAACGAAGAATGAAGAAACAAGTAAATTGAAATAATCTGAAAAAAGTATAAATTAGCACCAAAAAACAGCTGAAAAGTAGCTTAAAAGGCAGAAACAAGCTGAAATTAGAAGAAGGAAGTGAAAAGAGCATGTTTGCTGAATTAGGCTGAAAAAAATTTAAACGAGTGCAAAAAATGGGGAATTTGCTGTAAAAGCTTAAATTAGCATAAAAACAGCTAAATAGTAGCTGTAATAGTAGACAAAGCTGAAACTTGAAGAAATAAGCTGAAAGGAGCACAAAACAGCTGGAAATTTTAAATTTGCACAAGGAAGCTGAAGCAGAACAAAATGTGAAAGGAGCAGTAAAAGGTTGTAAACAGATCTGAAGGATGTAAAATGAACTCAATTCATTTTCTATGAGAAAAAAATGTCAGAAAACGCAAAATATTTCAAAAAGCTAAAGTTGCATCAATACCTAAAGTCATAGCACCCTTCTCCTGAACGAGCTGAACGTTTTGATTTATGATTTGTTGAAATGGATTAAAAAATGCAAGACGAGAATCACACTGAAAAACATACAGAAGAAAAATGGATCATATGGTGTGAATGCTTTGTAAGTATTCACACTATTAATAGTGTAACGGCTGCTGTAATAACCCCAAATTGAATACATCAATTGAAAAATCTATGGCATTGTAGCTGCTTCGGTTAAAAAATAAAAAATCGTTATCAATGACCTGTTTGTGCTCAGAGCATGTGTTGAGGATGACTCTCAGCTACTACCACTCCACGTCAGCAAAATGAGTTGAGTCAGAGCCACTCTTGGGTTTTCTGGTGTTTTGTTCAATAATTACTCTGTTGCTTGGAGGGAAGATAAAAAATATATAAATACAGTATATATCATTTGAGCCGGATCCTGAGAACTTTCTTATTTTGACAGGGTGTGTTCCAGTAACTAGTTACTTGGATCCGGTAACTCTCAGTTATACTAATAA